GCTGTGCGCCAGCTGGGCGGCCCAAGGCTGCCGCTGTGGCGGCACGTCTGCGCAATCTACTGCCACCGCTGCCGCTGCCTGCACGACCAGGCGCGGCATGCTGCCCTCAGGGGCGGTCACCAAGCTGTTCCACAGGCGGGCTGCCTGCCGCAGCCAGCGGGCATGGAGCGGCGGCTGGCCTGCCTCTGCCAGGATAGTGGCGGCGGGGATGCTGCGCGGCAGCGCCAGAAGGCGCCTCAGGAACCGCAGGTGCTGCAGCTCGGGCTCCGACAACGGGGTGCTGCGACCAGCGCCGCCGCTCACAACAGGGCGTGCCGCCGCAGCCATCGCCAGCCCAGGGGCCCACACTGCGCCGGCATAGGACAGCGTAGAGTCCACAAGCACGTCATAAAGGGTCAGCAGTAGCTTGGCTGCCTCCAAGCCAGCTCCTCGCATCGCGCCTCAAACGATGCAGCGGCAAAGCGGGCCACCGCCGCGCGGGTAGCGGCAGCAGACTCCCCTAGCGGCTTGCAGCAGTGGAAGGTGATGCCCAGGTACTTGAAGTCGGGCACCGCCTCGATCTCGCTGCCGGCATAGGTGAACCGCGCCTTGCGCACGCGCCGCAGCGCCGCCTCCTCGCTGGTGGCGCCGGCGAGCAGCATGACCTTCGTCTTCTTCACGTTGACGGTGAGGCCGTTCTCGCGGCAGTAGGCCTCCTGCTTGCGGGGCCTGCGAGGGGCGCATGAGGCAACCAATGCGCATGTGCATTGGGCAGCGCCCCACGCGGGCTCAGCTCAAGTAGCAGCACAGCTGGCAGGCGCCGGCCAGGGCGGGCAGGGTGAAGGAGATGGGCTCCAGAGGGTCCAGCTGGGCGGTGCACGCCTGGAGGCCGCGGGCGGTGGCAAAGTCCATCCGCCGCCTGCAGCAGCAGCAACACACTCATGGCGCTGGAGGAGGGGAGCAGCCAGGGAGGCAGGCGCGGCCTGCTTGCCCGGTGCTGCAGGAGCCCTGTGCCTCACCTCCCGCCAGTACACCAAGTGCAGCGGCACACAGAAGGCGAGTGTGGCAAGGGCCACACAGAAGCCGCGCTGGCAGGATGAGAGGGCCTGAGCTGCCCCCGCCTCTGAGCCGGCGGCGGTGGTGAGCAGCTCCAAGCCAGCGGGCAGCACGGTGGACAGCAGGAGCTGCAGCGGCAGTGAAGGCAGGAGCGGGGATGAGCTGCAGGATGAGCTGCATGCTGGCCGTGGTGCACCGAGTGGCCGCCCGACGCAAGCTCCGCAAGATGCCGGTGAGGCATGCCGCTGTGGCATGTCACGCATCCAGCGGGCCGCCAGCGAGGCAGCGAGCTGCTCTGCTAGCACCTGTGCCACCAGGTGGATGAGGTTGTTGGCAAACCGCAGGGCAAAGGGCACCCGGCTCCTCAGGGTGGTGATTGTCACATAGGCAGCCTGCAGGGGTGGCAGCGCAAGACGGGCGGCTCCGAGTCAAGCCAGACAATCTCTGGTAAGGTGTGTGAGGCAAGCACAAGCAAGCGCTGCTGTCTGGCAGGTGCGCCGCGCCCGCCACGCTTACTCCGTGCAAGGGGTGGGCCCAGACTCGCAGGATGGCGTCATAAGGGCCCAGCGCCTGCCGTGCGCGCCAGACGGCGGCCAGGCTGAGCATGTCGCTGGCGGTGTGGCCCAGGGTGGAGGCCATCAGGTGCATCCTGCGCAGCAGCAGAGGTCTGGCTGGGGATCTGGAATGGCATGAGCTGCCACCAGGCTTGGAGACGACGGGGCGCACCTGCTGTATGGCTCGTGCCACGTCAGCACCAGCGCCAGCTGGGCGGTCGATGGCACAGCGCAGCCCAGCAGCATGGTGAGGCCCAACTGCTTCATTCCGGACCCCAGCGCCTTGCCGGCCAGTGCCATGCACAAGCACAGCTGCAGGGCCAGGGTGCAGGGGAGACGGCTGAGCTCGGCGGCCAAACCGCGCCGACTGGAGATGCCGGACAGCGCCGGGGTGCACCCACCCGCACAGTGATCAGCAGGGCATCGTCAGCTTTGCTCTGCTCAGTCACTTCCTGCCAGTACTCTGACTCGAGGTGCGGGTCTGCAGCAGGCCCGGGGTGCGTTCCTCACGCCTCCAGTGCCCGTCCCGCCATGCAAGGCGCTGTACCGCGGCAACCAGCCAACCCGAAGCTATCTGTTGAGCGCGGGCTCCCCACCTGAGAATGCAAGGTGCTTCAGAAGCTGGGGCCCCTTCTGCACGAAGTTCCGGCTTCGGAGTGCCAAATCGGGGATGGGATGAAGCTGGCCGGCAGCCTGGTATCCCCGCCGAAGTGAGGCTCTAGTGGCCTGGCGCATTCGGCACTTGTCCTCCTCCTCACGGAGCGCCGTGGCCGTGGCCGGGTGAGAGCTGCTGCTTTTGCTGCGGACTTTCGGGCGGGTTTCGGATGTTTACCAGGCAGCGTGGGCTTCTCTTGAACACTTTCGAGTTCTATCACCAGCCTGCTTGGGCGCTGGGCAGCTGCAAGCCCTCACTAACGCAGTTGATGAGTGGTGCGTTGTTGGTGGAGTAGCAATGGACGCTGGCGTCTCTAGTGGATGTAAAGCGAATGAGCTGAGCAGGGAGTCTGGGTCGGGGCTCACGGAGAGCCCCTGCCCTCTCCCCCATTGTGGCCGTGCTGTCACAGGTTGGTAATGGCACCGGGTCACACCTGCATCCTGCCTGCATCCGGGCAGTCCTGAATGCACACAGTTGTGGACAAGCCGCTGATATCCGGCCGGCGCCGGCTGGCCAGCAGGCACTGCTCGCCTGCCCCACGCCGCGGCCGCAGCCCCGCCGCGGACGAGGCGAGAGCTGCCGGCGCGAGAGAGCAGCTGCACCAGGCGCCTACCCTCTGACACCAGCAAAGTCCCAGCATGTGGCACCACTCCAAGCGCTGTCCCCGCTTGGGATCCCTGCACCATGCGCCAGGAACCCTGCAGCATTGCAAGCCGGCTGCTGGCAGTAGCCGCGCTGTGCCGTGGGATGGCAGGGGCGACCTGATCAGGTGCTGTGACAGCATATTACATGCCAATTCCAGGATCGATGGGGCACACGAGATGGCATGGGGAACATGGACATGCTGCTTGACCTAGAGCTCCTAAACGTATGATACACAAGCCATCTAATGGCACAGCGCGCCACGCCGGCAGCGAGTAGCGGCGCCCCTCAGCAGTAGTGATACACAAAGGAAGACCGAGGGAAAGGGGGCGGGGGACCAAAGGGAAGGATGCGGCCCGCCAGCCCGCGGGGAGGCAGCCATGGCGAGGCGGGCCCCGCGGCGGAGCTGCGGGTGCACCCGGAATCTACAGGCGGCCGAGACAGGGTGCAACAATTGGGGAGAAGGAGAGAGGAACAAACTGACGCTGAGGCAGCGGGTGGCCATGTGTGGGGGAGTGGAGCACACCCTGCATTTTTTGTGGATCAAGTGCAGAGGCATGCGGGACGCATAAGGGGAGTGGGCGGTGCTTGCGACATCAAACAGGGGGGACATGAAAAAACCGGTTTCGTTGAGGTGCGGCTGGCTTCCGACGGGTGAGATGAGATGGCACAGGAAGACTGGGGTAGGGGTAGGGTCCGTGGGTTTCGCAAGGCGTGGTGGGTTTGGGAGGGGCCGCCCGTGCAGCCGCTGCTGGCCGGGAGGTGCCGGCGGCGGCGGGAGGGCTGCATGCAGCGCTGGCGGCGCCGACAGGGGTCACCAGTCGAGCACCTGTGTGGTGACGTAGCTGCCGCCATCCGACCCCTCCTCCTCCATCTCGCGTTCCAGCCCGTCCTCGTCATCACCCTGCAGGCCGGGATGGGCGGAGCAGGGAGCAGGCGGATGGCGGGTGGGGGTGAGCGGGAGGGAGCAGGCAGGGGAGGAAGGGAAGGCAGGTGGGGACAGGGCAGCAAAGGACAGAGCAGGCGGCGGCAGCCAGCCCTAGCCCAGCCAGCCAGCCCAGCCAAAGGAAGCCGGCCTCGCCCCACCTGCCCCGACACCGTCTCCTCGGCGGCAAACAGGCGCTTGAGGTTGACAAAGGAGAGCTGGGACAGGTCGCGCACCACCAGGTCCGCAGCGCCCAGCTCGTACACGGGCTGCCGTCCCGCCAGCGCCACACACTTCATGCCCACCTGCGGCAGCCGGCGGCAGCGGGGAGGTGAGAGGGCGGGTGCGTGTGGAGGGGGGTGCGGTTTTGAGCCGATGCGGGCAGGCAGGCAGGGGCCGCGCCAGCTGCTGTGCCTGCGCCCGGGCCGCCAAGGGCCTGGCACCACCCCCCACGTGCTCCACCATGGCGCGCAGCAGCCGCAGCCAGCCGCAGCAGCGGCAGCGGCTGGCAGCGGCACCTCGTGGGCGGCCTCGATGCTGAGGTTGGAGCTGCCGATAACGACGCAGCGCAGCGGCGGGCGCTGCATCTTCTGCGCCGCGTACAGGTAGCCCTCGGGGTCGGGCTGGCCGCGGTGCACGTCGTCGGCAGTCACCACCGCGTCAAACCGCCCCTGCAGCCCCGCAGCCTCCAGCGCCGGCAGCACTCGCTGCTCGGGCGCCGAGGACACGAGCGCCAGCGGCGCCTGCAGGCCAGCAGGCACGCAGCGCGGCGCAGCGCAGCGTTCAGTCGACGCCGAAAAAGCAAGGCAGGTTGAATACATGCCAGCGGGCCTTGCCACGCAGCCACATCTGGCACGCCACGCTGGGGCAGCTGCTGGGGTAGCTCGTCGCTGCCGTCGCCACATGGGCCGCCATGCCTGCGCCACCCGCCAGCGCGCCGCACCCAGAGCCTGCCCACCCACCACCACTGCCTGCCACAGTTTTGTACCTCGACAGGCCCCCGCACCTGGTTGCGCTGCAGCAGGTCCATGAGCTGCGTGACTCCGCCCGGCACCAACGGCTTGCGCCCCCCCAGCAGCTCTGCCAGGATGGCCTCGCGCCGCGCCGCCAGCCGCCGCGCCTCTGCCGGGTTGCGTGTCCAGCAGAAGACCTCCGACACCACCTGCTCGTTCTTCATCCCCTGCGCCTTCTTCAGCGCCCACAGCGGCGGCGGCGCCTTGCCCTCCTCCGCCGCCAGCTGCTGCCAGGAGCGGCCGCCATCGCCGCACTCCTGCTCTATGCACACGCCGTCCAGCTCGAAGATGGTGCCAAACCAGGCGGTGCCCAGCCGCTCCATGCGCTGCAGCGGGTTGGCCAGGCTGACGTCGTCGGCCACGCCCTCCACGTTGCGCGGCAGGGGCTTGAGGCCTGTGCGGCCGCCGCCGCTGCTGCTGCTGCTGCTGCTGCTGCTGCTGGGGGAGGAGGACGGGGAGGAGCGGGATTCGCCGCCGCTGGGATCGCCGCCAGGTGCCGGCACATCGCTGCCGCCCTCCCAGGGCACCGGCCGCGGCAGGCTGGCCGGCATGGCGGCCGCCACGGTCACGGCTAGCCGCGGCCGGGGGCGTGGGGGTGGCCGCAGCAGAGCGTGGGCGAGGGTGTTGTGGAAGCGGGACAGGCGGGCGTGCACAGGTGCTCGGGCGCCGCCCACCTCCACGCACCGGCTGCCCAAGCTGGCAGCCATGGTGTGTGGGGGTGCCGGGGCGCTAGCGGCTGGTCCACGCGCCGGGCCACTGCAAAGTCGCCAAGCAGGTTCGCGCGAAAACTGCGGGCCGGGAGAGGCCACAGGGGCTGCTCAAGTGGTGTGTAGCGCTGAAGACGAGCTGGGGCGGAGCGGGGCGGCCGGCAGAAGGGCCCCAAAGCTCCCATGCAGCTGGCCTTCCACCCACCCAAACTGCTGCCACGAGAATCTGGCCTCCCGGCCGGCGCTGTGTGCCTTATTGCGGCTCTTCCTGCGATCAGGAGCGCAGCGGAGGCTCGCAGGCGCGGGGGTGTGGGGGTGACTGAAGGCGCCGCCGCTGCAAGCCGCCGGCGCCTTGCAGGCCCGTGCCAACAGCTCTGCGCAAGTTCAAGCTCGTTTCCTTGTTACAGTTCTCAGCAATGCTATCCGTTCTGTTCAATGAGAAGTGATGGAATGTCCCACTTGCTCGGTCACGTTTCAGGGTAAAAGGTCCATGGGAAAACACGGTGGGGGGACGCCCCCGGGGCCCGCGTTCCCCGCCCCGTTCCCGGCGCCGCGCCGCGCCGACTCCCCTCCTGCGCGCACTCAGGGGCCTTTGGGCGGCGTTCCCCGAGCGCCCGGGCGCCCATCGCGCCGCGCCATCCCCCGCCCCCCCCGCTGCAGCGTCCCCGCCTGCCCGCGCGACTTGTGCGCTTCGTTGATGGCGTGGGGGGCCTACTGGAACGGCCCGGGGGGCCTCTGTGCGCGCGGCAACCGTCCAGCCTGGCGCGCAACTGACACACCCTCCCGGCCGCAATCCTCCCCCCATTCGTCAAGCTCAGATGCGAATCATGACGCATGCGAAGAGATTTCAGGGCAGACTGGAGTAGGCGGCCAACCGCAGCTGCACCTTGGGCATTGACTTACCGAAAACGGAGCCATTAACGTTCGCCTGCAGCGACAAAAGCTAGAGAGGAACTCATGAAGCGTGTACCAAAGCGGGGAAATTGCAGCAGTGCAAGCCCTGAGCACCTTGATTGCCACCTGCCACCCACGTGCAATGCAGAAAGCAACATTTGCATTTTGCTGCCCAGGCCAGCCCATGCATTTTCTGGGCCTGCCCTCCCAGGGCCTCATTCAGTAGGGTGTCAGGGTCCCCAAACCGGGATGGCATGCAAATCAGCATTGGCAGCAGTGCCCTGCACCACCTCCTGGGTCTGCCCTGCCGTCAGCGTGTTCTGTGCCTGACAAAACCACAGCATTGCTGCCCAGGCCAGCCCATGCATTTTCTGGGCCTGCCCTCCCAGGGCCTCATTCAGTAGGGTGTCAGGGTCCCCAAACCGGGATGGCATGCAAATCAGCATTGGCAGCAGTGCCCTACACCACCTCCTGTCTGCCCTGCCGTGTTCTGCTGTGCCTGACAAAACCACAGCATTGCTGCCCAGGCCAGCCCATGCATTTTCTGGGCCTGCCCTCCCAGGGCCTCATTCAGTAGGGTGTCAGGGTCCCCAAACCGGGATGGCATGCAAATCAGCATTGGCAGCAGTGCCCTACACCACCTCCTGGGTCTGCCCTGCCGTCAGCGTGTTCTGCTGTGCCTGACAAAACCACAGCATTGCTGCCCAGGCCAGCCCATGCATTTTCTGGGCCTGCCCTCCCAGGGCCTCATTCAGTAGGGTGTCAGGGTCCCCAAACCGGGATGGCATGCAAATCAGCATTGGCAGCAGTGCCCTGCACCACCTCCTGGGTCTGCCCTGCCGTCAGCGTGTTCTGTGCCTGACAAAACCACAGCATTGCTGCCCAGGCCAGCCCATGCATTTTCTGGGCCTGCTGAGTGCGACGAGGGCGAGCTGGCGGTCTTCTTGTTGCGATGGATTCATTGATATTACACTCTGCCAGCGCAATGCAACCATAAACTGCACTCTGGCGGCCAGGCAGTGGGCGGCGCTGCCGT